GTTTTTTAAAAGATACTAGAATCTGATTGAGGATTCTGTTATGCCATGGAGGTATTTTGTAGCTTAATATGATAAGGTGTCATTATCAAATAACCATCATCATTCCTGACAACTTAACACAGGAAAAGGGAGTCGATGACCAAATGATCAATTGTTGTTGCCCTACGATTGTTCTGTACGACTAACTTGTTCGTTTGTTTGTTGTTTAACACCACTCTAGGCAATATTCCAGCTATATGATGGCGGTCTGTAAATAATAGAGTCTGGACCAGACAATCAAGCCAATATACTCAAAAAGGATACAATGACATGCATCCACCAAGTCAGTGAGTCTGACCACCCGATCCCATCATTCGCCTCTTACGACCATAGTCATCTCTTATCATGCTTATGACAAGCATAAGTTACTGAACAATTCTAACCCGGATCTTTACTGGTGTTGTACTAATGATTATTAATCACAATCACTTCCTAGTAGTGTGTATATGCCAAATTATTATGTCAGAGTAGCTGTTTTTAATCTGCTTCAAAGTGTGAAAATCATTATAGGAAGATTCTTTTTACAACAATTAATTGGGAATTCTTGGAATGATTATCATAATTATTGTAATGAAGATGATGATGATGATGATGATGATACTTGTGCAGGTAACTGACATAGCAGTGGAGCAAGAAGGGAAGGACCAATGCCACCACCACAACCATCTCAAACAGGCATAAGTACCTTATACTGTTCAAGAGTCTCTCCACAACACTCGACAGTAACCATGGTAACAGAACAGTTGGATAATCACATTCAACCAATTTCAACCACAAACATGAACATATACATCACAGACCCACTATTGATCAGCTTATCAACAAAACATCTTATCTTATCCCACTTACATGACCCACTCTAATTGTACACTTCCTCAAGCAAAATGGATTCAAGATAAATATTTATTTGAACATGCAAACATAGTTTCAAGAGCATTTATCGATAATCATTGTGAACATGTTTATATGCTGATATGTGCCAAGAATCAATAAAAGATCAACTGCAGATGACTATGGGATTAGCCTGTTTCATTGCAGTCTATACAATCTCTCTCAAGGACATTTTAAACTTTCATAGTCTCATCACCATATCGATACAGGAGGTAGTTCCAGGACAGGAACAATTATTGGATTACAAGTCAACCACAAAAACTAAACTCATTTATATTTAAACTCCCAATATTCCACACCATATGAACAATTACTAACCATGCTAACTGTAAATCTTGAAATTCTCTAAATTAATGTGACTGGTGACTGGTGACTGGTGACTGGTGACCCTCAGCCAAAAATGTGACTCAATATTAATGTGACATCCCCCCAAACAACCTAGGAATCTTGAGAGAGAGAAGATAACTTCTCGGAGGTTGTTTATTGACCAAGTTTGTTATCCCCTGTTCGAGTAAACGAGTAGAGGCTCTCTCGCCAACAGACAATTTTTAGACATAAATGCAAATAATTATTCATGCAAGCGAAATTCACTTGCATGTTTAGCATTAATTATGTTAATTTCACTGTCACATTAATTTCAAGACTTACAGTATCTAAATAACAAAAGGGACATGATACCACCTTTTTTAAAAAGTTTTTAACAAACTAGAAGTGCAATGAACTCAATAAAGAGGCAGTGTGACAGTGTAGACAACACAACAAGACGGCAAAAGGCACAGGCTACTTGACGAGACACCACTTCAACTGTATTTACCCAGTTTGGCTGAACCAAAGAGCATGGTGGAAAAGAAAGCAAACAAATTTGACAGTTAGCAATAGGACGTTCCATAATTAGGCTGCAGCAAATAAGTCAGGAGCCTAGTTCAGCAGCAAAAACATAAATCATAACCGACAAGAGAAGACAGTCGGCTGGAACTTTTAAATTAATGATCAGGAAAAAACAAGATATAAAACTGAGTGAAGAACTAAAACTGACAATTAAAAACTAACACAATCAGAAAACTGTCAAATATACAAAAAATTAAGGAACAATATCTCAATTTGGCACAGTCAGAACTGATTTAAGCAGACGGTGATGGTAATGGTGTTTTATGATACTGTTTTCTATGAAACAGTTGGGAATTATTAGAGTTTCTCTGTTCATGACCAAGGCGAAGGCCATTAGTTCAAAGGGACAAAGCTATAGCAGGGTTTTCTTGACACAGAATGCTGAGTTCTCATACCATTTCCTCATCATATATGCTGGATAATATATATCAGCTGTGATGCAATAAGACTCCAGCTGATAAAAATAAATAAAATAAAAAAGCCGGTATGCTGTACCAGAAACATGCTAACTTATAACATGAATGAAAATTATTCCTCTTTGCACATGTTGCACCTTCAGATATTATTATCTAGGGAAACACTAAGTTGCTTCTGAAATATTCCTCTGAAGCCAGACACGTTCAGTATTAGACACCAAGTCTAGACACACTAGTCTGTTAGTCACAGACTTCTAAGTGACAATCTACAGAGACTACTTTTGAGCTCCCCAAATATAGTTATGTTACATAAACTGGTCCGAAATGAGTTGTATACTATTTGTATAGGTGCAATGCCCCTGTACACAGTGCAACCAAGTTAGGGTTTGCCCATGTTTGCAACCATTAGTCTTGTCAGAGGGAATCCAGGATTCAAATCTAAGTGCCTTGGCAGGTAATTCGGGAACAAATATTTATTTTGCTCAAATTGGTCAGTGTCGGCTGTACAAAGCAGTACATTAGTTATTACTATATCACATTAGTTTGTAAATTTGCACAATCAATTTGGGAATGTTTACAGACATTTGCTGCAGACTTGGGTCCAAATTATCGAGCTCTGATCCGATTCAGTGACAACACTCCAGATAACAATATGATACTTTCAATATAGTTATAACAAGGCACCAAGTGAGCAGGGCTCACTAATACTCCCAACTTCGACCCTCAACACATTTGGTTCAAAACATGAAAAATGCAATATTTTACTTTGCAAGGCACCAAGTGAGCAGGGCTCACTAATACTCCCAACTTCGACCCTCAACACATTTGGTTCAAAACATGAAAAATGCAATATTTTACTTTGCACTGCACTTTTCCTAGTGGTATAGACTGTACCCCCAATTGGAAAAGAATCCAAGAAATAGTTTTTAAGTCATAGGTCACACAAATGTTATGGTAATTTTTTTTTTTAAATTCTAATTTCACAACATGAAAAATCATATTTTTTCAGAAAATGCACATATCAAAATCAAACTTTGCACTGCACCTCTCCTACTAGTGTAAAAAGTGTTCCTTAAATTTGAAAAGAATCCTTCAAGTAGTTCTCAAATTACAGGTAGCACAGGTGTTTAAGGAAAACATGAAAAATACCTGTATTTTTTTCAGAGATACAAATAATGAAATCAAACTTCACTTTGCACCCTCCTATTGGTATAGAAATTGTTCAAGTTTGAAAAGAATCTTTTCAGAAGTTTTCAAGTTATAGGTCACAAAAAAAATATCCTCAGAAGGACGGACGGAATTCTTTGATATAACAATATACCCCTCCCCTTTTAGGTTGAGGGAATAAATAACCCTAGAGAGTGAGAAAGAATATCTTGTTATTTTGAAGCATCTTATTGCCAAGAACATCAAGAAATCTTCTTCTCCAATGTTACTACACACCAGCAGGCTAACCTTGATTAAACAACAACCTCACTATCCCCTCACAGTCCCAATATGTCATGTAACAATGATTCAGACAATTTATTCAATTATTCAGTGAGGTTTTTCTCCATTCAGTTACGAGAAATGCATGGAACAGCCTGTCACTATAGCCTTGTTTTGGAAGGGTCATCTCCGTCTTCTCTTATCACACTACCTGAGCGCAGAATTCTCACTCATGAGCTTCAAACAAAAGCCAACAAATTGACTTTTCTGAAAAGATTTTGCTAGATCTACATTCAAAATAACAGCCTAAAAAAGCAACCCTCAATAAACAAAAGGTAAATACAGGGAATCAGGAGACTGTTCCAAACATATTACTTGAATAAGAAGATTTCATCAGTATAAGAATGGGAAGGAAGGAGTAACAAAGTTGGGTTTAAAGCCGTTCTTTATTACCGTATTCGACGTAATAAGCGTCCCGCTCTAATAAGCACCCACAGCGATATTTGCTATTTTATTGGCTAGTGAACAATCCCAATTAACATCCTTACGATTGATCAATATACACTAGACTTTTTTATTCGTGTATAATATGCACTCATGTGTCACCCTTAATTACAGGAAATTAAATTCTGGAAAAATATATCTGTCGTGACCACAGACTTTTCTTCTGTATCATTTCAGGCTATAAGCATAAACCACGAAATTTACAATCTTTCAACTCTTTCACCAAAATTATATTCTAATAAGAGCCCCCTATTTCTAATTTTGAGAGCACCTTGGGCACTTATTATGTCGAATACATTAACACTATTCCAGTTATATTGCACCTTGGCTGCTTGATGTTGGAGGAAAGACTAAAGTGATGCATGTTTAACACTTTGGTGAAACCCACAAGCTTGTGTAAGGTGCTGACAAACCTAGACACATAACTGAGGCAAACTGGGATTCGAACCAACGAATCATCAGTTTCTGGCGTGCTCAAGGTAGGCAACTCTGCACAGCAAATTCAGGCACCTCGGACGACTGGGCCATCAACGCCACCCAGGGAAGAAATCCAAGTTCACAGTTCTATATATTACACAATGAGAACAGTACAATTTGATTGGTGGCTTTTCCCATTGTATCGTTTGAACCAGAATGAAAACAAAGCTATGGGGGCGAGTGGGTCAAGGGTATTTATCATAATCAAAGAGACACATGGTACCCTGGATCAAAGAGGATGTAACAGCTACTTACAGAAAGGGACATATGGTACCCTGGATCAAAGAGGATGTAACAGCTACTTACAGAAAGGGGCATATGGTACCCTGGATCAATGAGGATGTAACAGCTACTTACAGAAGCCTGACATCTCAGGTTGCACGGCCCTCAGTGTGAACGTCGTTCCTTTAGGGATCTCTTTCAGCATCTTGGCGACTTCGTAATGTCGGCATCCCACAAGACTCTTGCCATCAAGCTTCTCGATATGATCTCCTACAGTGATCAGTGGCACACGGTCCATGATGCTCCCCTCCTTGATCCGCTTAATGAACGCGTAGCCAGCACCGTTATCCGTAATAGTCAGTCCAAGGGCATCCTCAGATTTTGTGACATCCATTTCTTTTGGCCGACCTTTTATGTGGGCAAATATGAAGTCATCTAGGCCAATTTGCCCTCCTAATAACTTTGTCATATCTATCTTGTGTGTATTTAATGTGCAGAATAAAATCTGAAAAATACAAAATAAAGAATTATGTTAAAAGGAAATAAAACAACAAAATTTGGTATGTCTACAAGCTGGCCTCATAATGGTTTAGTGCAGAGTGAGTGCTGGGCTCAAGAGGCATGTTATGATTGAGTCATTTTATATTTATAGTTTTCTTGGGTTCTGTTGGGTGATTAAAAAACAATAATAACCAATTATAGAAAATATTTTGCTTCAAATGCTGTTTCAGGAGACAATATGTGCATTATTCACTGCAGCAGAGTTCTAGTATTTCACTCATATAATTATATTAGACATCTGAGGTAATAATGTATGAAGGTGTCTGGTAATTATGTATACAGGTGTGGGATAATCATGGGAACAGATGACGCAGCTGTAGGCTTAACCGATCAATATCAAAGAGCAGTCACAGAAACATATACTGACAAGTTGGATGATAACTGATGATAAATACAGTTTATGCTCCAACCATCTGATAAAGATTCATCCTCAGGGGAGATAACACAGCTTGCAAGGGGAGATAACTGAACATGCAAGAGCATGATGTAACACTTGGTTTGTCCCCAGATGATCAGGTGATAACAAAATGGTGACTCAATGGTTTTCGTTTCCAGCAGTTTAATGTCCTTGTGCTGTCTAGTTGTTCTGAATGCTTGAAACGATTACCAAATGCGAGTGTTAATGCATGGTAATGTCAATATTCACTTGACTTAGTGAACATGGTCCATCCAATATACTATCTTAACGTAACATGTCTTGTGTCAAATACCCACTATTTAGAAGAAGCTACAGCCTTACTGTAGTCTCAATCATGTACGAAGTGAGCTGCAAACAAATTATTGGTGTGTGTTCAGTGTCAAAATTGATCTATGTCACGAGAACTGCAAATAAGGAAGATCAAGTGTCACCTTCACCTATATTCTTGTTATGGGAAGATACAACGATGCATACGGGAGGTGGATCGCGATTTCTTATTTTTCAAGACACGTATCAATTACAGTAGCACACTAAGGTTAAAAAAGTGATAAATACCTTAAATGTTTGCTTTAATAAGTGTTACACTGAACTCTAATTAGGACTGAAAATTTGCAGTGAAAACATGATTATTTTCATCCATTGTGCCATACATGACACTCCCAACTGTAAATTGTCAGTGTGCATAAAAAATGGCTTAGGGACCACAGATGAGAGCACATGCAAGTATGATGATACATATCTGATCAGGAGCAAGGTATCGTGATACGTATTGGGTCGCACAGTTGGTGTATCGTCCCACCCTACTATCTCCATGGATTGTTCACAGCTACTTATCACTCACATACATGTAACTATTTTCTGCAAATAATAACTGACTTCTACTGATGACATTGAGGAACGACATGTTGCCTCAATTGTTACTAGATTGTGGGAGGTCAGCCCAAAGTGATGCTGGTCTCAGATGGTTACAACTTCGGTGAAAAGCATCAGAATGTGCCGACAGCCATAATGATCATAGGATTCTGACATGACAAGGGGACACAACTCTGCACAGAGAATTGTATCACCTTCAATGCCTCAAACTTTGTAACAAGTCAACATCAATAAATCCTAACTTTTAGTGAAGGAAAGCGATCAACGTCAAGGCTGTCTGGTCCTGAGTGGCATAAGGGTTAAATCTTTAAATTGTTCACACTCAAGGATAATTTAATTCCTTGTGCTTAAACACCATCCAGTTTCCTCCCAATGCCCCATCAACATCTAGTCCAGAGATAAAAATATCCACTGACACAATGGGAATCAAGGAAGGGAACCCTATCAGAGCAAGACACATGTAATTGATCTCATCACTTGTGAGGCAAACACCAGATGGATGGGGCAGAATAGACAAAAGATGTATTTTCTCTGGTAATATATACATGCTGAGAGCTACAGTGTATGAATAGCTTCCAAAGTTTGCTGGCCTGGATGACTCGTTGACAAAAAATGTTGCAAGTCCTCGTCATATTTTACTAGCCCTAATTTAAGGCTACAGACCACCTATTTGTTTTAACCTAAATGTATCGTGTGTTTTGAGATCATTATGCTAAACAAAGGTGAAGCAGTTTGACTGCTTGGTACTATATGTTTGCCTGATGTTTGTGGTGTGTCTTAGACTTTCACACGCATCGCTAATGATGCATGTACATATATATCAGTCATCATCAGTGTACAGGAAAAACCTAGTTTACTACTTCGCACGGGTTTCCGATAAACTGCAAATGAAAACAAAGTGAGAACAGATTTGGACATTAATTGATGCCTTAACTGACGGTGATTTGTAGAAATATGTTTTGACAAGTATTTTCAACTGGACATTCAGGCCACCTTTAAGGAAATGTTACTAGTCCAACTTAAAAGTCACTGGCATTGGACTAGCAGGCAGGCAGCTATTTTAATTGCTGGCTAGAGGGTAGGTAGACAGGAGGAACATTCACAATTTATGATAGATGTGTAAATGTTGCATAAAGCTCCAGTCAGTATAATCCAGCTGTATCATTGTGGCCTGTAAATAAGTGGGACCAGGCAAACCAGAGATTGAAAACATGAGCACCGATCCATGATGTCAGAGCATCATGACCAATACACAGTGCTAGCCCACTGAGATACCATGCCGCAGTATATATGGCTACCCTCATAACTCTGACACAGTATACTGACTCCGAGCCAACCAGTCCTTGTTTTATCCCCCTTAACGCCAACAGGCAGGGTAACAAGTACCAGCATTTAACGTCTTTTGGTATGGGGCGCCGGGGATCAAACCACCGACCCGCTCACCAGACAGACACACTAGCCACTGCATCATGGAGGCAGCACACATAGAACAGAACATGAAATATGTCTTCAAATATACCACATTGTGGGAAGGCAAACAGTGCTTGTGTGTTGGCGCTGATCCTCAGCTGTCACTCAGTGTTACTGTTAGTCATATCACACTAAACATCAAGCCTCACACAATCAACACACTACACAACACACACTCAACAAAGCCTCCTTCATCATTGTCACCAACTTCCTCATTCCACGAGACAAGCCACAGCCTGACCCACAAAGCACTGAAGAACAAGGACCATGTTAAACTTGAGAGTTACCATTGTGGCACGGGATAATAGCGTCACTATGTTCAGTCAAGGAATATGTAAAGTAATAATAATAAGTCAAATGTTAATAATTTATTGTAAACATTCACACAAGGTCTTAGTTCAAGCTCTTTATTACTGTTGTAGAGTGGCAGGGAACAGCATAGGCTGACATTAAGTCCCAGAAACTAAGTTAAAAACAATTTCTATAAAAGATGAAATAAAGTCAAAATGGAGCCCAGAACAATGCTGATTTTCAGGAGCTTCAGTTGATGCAATCTAGACTTGTGAAATCATTCTAGACTTTTGGATTCCCTTTCATTTTGGTCTTTAGGGTCTGGGAGACAGACGAGGAAGAGCAAGGTAGCTAGCTATTCAACATCCTGGTCCGTGGCCCCAGTGGCAATAACTAGTTTATTTGATAGCCTGTATCTCTTCAATCAACATTCGATCAAACTAGAGTCCAGCTTCTGGCAGTCGTCTGGGCCTCAACATAACCTGATTAGATATTCTAGTGGTTGTTTTTTTTTAGTTTGTTTGGGGGGTTATCTCAATGCAAGGGTTGTGGTGTAAAGTGAGGGGTAGGTGGTGGTGTGGTGTGGTGTGGTGTGGTGTGGTGGGTATGACATTTTACTTAAAGTACTGGGGGGTAATTTGGCTCAGTTTTTGCATAAAAAACAATTTGTTCAAAGAAAGTTTTCAAAAAATGTTCTGAAAACCTGTAAGGGAACACAAGAATACACATGAATAATATCCACTGTCAGCAAGGGAACCGTGACCAGCAATATCAAATACTGGGAACAAAGCTGTTTCAGTTAGTATATATCTGTGACATTTAATGACAAAGTTTCCACATTCTTTCTCTACCTATTTACTAAAGTATGTGCCTGTATCCCTTTGGGGTTAGAAAGAATTCATGATAGCTGCTGCTGTATTTCCCCATCAGTATGTATCACTGATCTTCAGTTAGTAATTGTATTTGTTAAGAAATGGACTGACCCAGTCAGGAATGATGAAAGTTCATCTTCACCTCCGATGAGACATGAGACAGCCCAGAACCTGTGAAGGTCACCCAGGTATTTGTGAAGGTCAACCAAGCGGTTCCTCGTCCGACACCCACATGAGAAATGGGGCCGAGAGCATCTCTCATCAGGACCTGGCTGAATGCCTACACTGAAGTCACATCCCTTGTTGATCAGGCCAAATTGTGGGCAGTGGTTGGGCCTTATTGGTCACGACCCGCAACAGTTGACTCTGACATGACAAACACACTAACACCCTGTCTTCTCTCACGATTATGTTGACAGTCACCAACACAGTCCACAGGCACTCACAGGGCAAACAGTAGTTTCCAATCTGTGTGACCTCAATATACGGCACCATACAACTATCTTTTGATATGAATACAGGCATATTTCACATAACACTGAGGACCAAAGCATTTCAGATTAGTTCATTTTCTTGGACATTGACTCATTTTATTCCAAAATGACCAAAATATTCTATTCAAATTTGGACATGATGTTAGGAAAATGTCCTATCAAATGACAACACAAATCATAACAATGTCGTATTCCATTTGTCTTTGCAAAATCACATTATATTTTAACTTGGAATGAAGCTGTTAATGTGTCAGTTGCCTAGCCATATTGAATACTATTTGTTTGACAACATCTCCAAGCAACCAGTCACGTTCAGTTCCCACCTGGATATCACAATCAAAAGTGGTATGATATAATCTGACAGTACGCTACATTATCAGCTTTTTGACACTTTGTTTTAATTTAATTTTTTCTGCCAAGGCTTTGGATATATATCTGAACACTGTTGGCGCTTACTGGAATAAACACTTGTACTGAACACTGTTGGCGCTTACTGGAATAAACACTTGTACTGCAGTGAATTCTC